CATTAAGGGATCTATAGCTTTTATGTGTAGAAACAAGATCCAAATGCAGGTCAGTACTGAGACGCCTCTGCTACTTGAAACACACCACGCTGCCTCCTCTCCAGCCCCATTGCTAACACCTAGCCTCAACCTCTGCCTTGACCCACTTTCTCACCCCTTGTGCCCCTAAGAAGTCATATGTGTTTCCCATTACATGGGCTTTCACACTCCCATAAGTTGTGGCTAACAAAAGCAGTGGTCCTGTCGCATTTTTGCTTCCCAAAGGACATTTACCAACATATGGAGACATTTTGGTTGTCACAACTGGGGAGGTACCACTGGCATCTAACAGGTAGAGGCCAGTGATGCTGCTAACATCCCATAATGCACAGGACACCCCTCACCAAACAAAGATTTATTCAACCCAAAATGTCATCACGCTGCATATGGGAAGCCTTACCAATAAAGAACCCACTTAGAGCAGTTGCCGTTGACCTTAGGAACCAGACAGGTAACATAAACGAGCCAAGTAGGACAGATGTAAGGGAAAAAAACAACAGTTTTCATTATCTCTCTCTTCCATACTCAGGTTACGATTTCATTATGTTTTGTAAATGACATCTTACCTTGTAGTCTTTCACCACTGGCATGCTTCATTTGCATGTTTAACATACATATTCTTCACTTCCACAAAGGAAAGGACTCCTCCCATTTCCCCTTGAAACACAGAGCCCTCTCCAGCTGTCCTTTTTACTTCCTTCTTTTGATAATAGACATGGGTACAAGAAACTCTAATTAAAATAACAGCCATATCAGATGATGAATGGCACCTCACAGCCCCAGTTTTGGGAAAACAACAGAGACTAGGAGAAACTTGGGCAAACTGGACTGTCTGTGCCCCTGCCTTAAAAGAGGGAAGGGGCACCTGGGTGGCTCAGTCGGTTAAGTGTCTGCCTTTGGCTCAGGTCATGATCCCAGGGTCCTGGAACCGAGCCCCACATCAGGCTCCCTGCTCAGAGGGGAGCCTGCTTCTCCCTCTGCCTACTACTCTCCCTGCTTGTGCTCTCTCTCTCTGTCAGATAAATAAATAAAATCTTTTCTAAAGTTTTAAAAAATAAAATAAATAATTAATTAATTAAAAGCGGGAAGGCAAGAAGCCCTTAGTACTAGGGGGTCATTGCCATATAGGAACGTCAGTTCCGTGATGCTAGACAGTCTGCTACTAAGTAGAGGCAGGACATACGACTTTAAAATTACGGACACTTCCCTCCACCTCACCCCACCTCAGATTCTGATTTAATTGGTCTGATGTGTGGCTTGGCTATCAGGATTTTTTAAAGCTTCCAGGTGACTCTAGTCCAGTTTTGCTAAGATTAAGAGCCACCAGTCTAATCCAGTCCTCCCATTTTTACATATATACAAACTGAGGCTCAGAGAAGCTAAATGCTTTGCTCAGGCCCCCAACTAGTTTAAAACAGGTATAGAACCAGAAAACAGTTCTTCTAAGGCAGTGTTTTCAAACCACAGGCTATAATACTAGATCATAAAACTCAAAAGTTAATAAATGGCATTTCTTTTAAAAAGGACAGAATAAGAAATCAGAGTATACTGTACATTATAGGAGTAAGTATTGTTACATGAAACGTGTTTCAAGTATATGCACATATTTGCTGATCTCCATTGCTTCTCTAAATCCATTCTCCTCCCTTCTCTGCCTTATTCCCAACCCTACAGAATGATTCAGCCGGGTCCCTTGCCAGAGGGGTTCCAATTCGTTAGCCAGTGAGGGGCATGAGCTGGAGAGCAAAGGGTGGGAGGAGAGGGTCTGGGGTCCCTCTTCCTGGGAGATCCTGCTCCCACAGCACAGCTCTCCCTGGAGTCAGCTCCTGATGAAGCTCCCCTTCCCCTGGAGGCCCAGAGGTGGTAGCACCTTCTGACTGCAGACAGTCATGGGTGTTTCAGTGTCTTTTATGGGTTCCTTAAAACTGTTCACTTCTGAAAAGAGTCCGTTTATTGAATCTGTTTCCTGCCAGGACACCGACATACCTAAATGGAGTAACAGACACGTGCATAAATGTACTGGGTTGCACTTTCAGAAGTGTGAGCAGGTTTAATGTAAATTGTATTGCTTCCTGTGAGTTATGGTGAATAAAGCTGGAGAAAAACAGCATCATGGTTTTTCTTTACTATACTGCTGCTCCCCCTGACTGATGTGTAGGGAGCTATTGGATTGACACTTCAAAAAACAAACATCTGACAAACAATTCTTTACTACGACTGTTACCACTAAATAAATAGCCAATAATGTCCAAAAATAAGAAAAACATGTATGTTTATTAAGCAGATTTTTTTAACAGTGCTTATCACTGCCCAACAGCAGAAAGGGCTAGCTCGGGGCACCTGGGTGGCTCAGATGGTTGAGCGTCTGCCTTCAGCTCAGGTCATGATCCCGGCGTCCTGGGATCGAGCCCCGCATCGGGCTCCCTGCTCAACGGGGAGCCTGCTTCTCCCTCTCCCTCTGCCTCTCTGCCTCTCTCCCTGCTCATGCTCTCTCTCTCTCTGTGTCTCAAATGAATAAATAAAATCTTTAAAAAAAATAAAAAAATAAAAAAAAAAAGAAAGGGCTAGCTCATCAGTGCTTAGCACGTATGGAGGAGATGAAGGAAACCGAACCGAGAACCTCTAGTCAGTTTCTAACTCTTAAAGATGTGTGCTTCTATCAGGGAGCTTCAGGTTGTAAACTTTTTTTCCCCAAATATAAATGAAGCCATTTTTGTGATAGCAAAATCCCACACTAAAGACCTGTAAGATGTCAGCTCAACTCATGCTCATTCTGCGAAGGGCAAGAAGAGAGGGAATGAGGAAGCTTTCAAAAATGTCTAAACTTTGCTCCTTTTTGCAGGACCCAAGGGTACAGGGCCAGAGGAAGAACCAAACATCCTGTGTCTGATCATTCTTCAAAATCCTGTAGATGGCCTCTTGTAGATGTAGAAAATCATCCAAACTCCATCCAATGACCAGTGTCCAGAGTACACCCAAAAATGTGGGACAGCTCCTTCACTGTACCTCTTTCCAATGCCCAAGGGGGTAAGTCAAGTAAAGTGCCACACTGTTCTATTAATACAAAACTGTATTTAGGTATAAGCATTAAATATGATGCTCACTAAATCCAAAGCTAAGCCATCCAATAAAAGAAGATTCAAAGTAAATGCAATTACGAGAAAACGGCAAGATGATTATCCTACGGTTGTTACTGTAACCTCCCTGAAAAAGAAGTGGTGCCCCTCCACATTTCACTACGAAGTGGTTAATGTTTATACTAGCCATTCAACAAAAATGCAACTTCATTCTGTCACAAATCAGTATTATGCAGGCGCTTTTATAATAGCAACTAAAACTTGTTAAAGGCTTTTTTTTTTTTAAACAGTTTTTTTTTAAAGATTTTATTTATTTATTTGAGAGAGAGAATGAGATAGAGAGAGAGAGCATGAGACGGGGGAGGGTCAGAGGGAGAAGCAGACTCCCTGCTGAGCAGGGAGCCCGATGCGGGACTCGATCCCGGGACTCCAGGATCGTGACCTGAGCCGAAGGCAGTCGCTTAACCAACTGAGCCACCCAGGCGCTTTAGACACAGAATGCCATCCCATATATTAGCCACCCCTTTTAGTTCTACTCCTCAGAACACACCCCTGGAGTAAGTAGGGGAGGCAATAATCTCAGGTCACAGAGAAAGAAGAGGCTCACAAAGGAAATAATTTGAAACTTAAACCAAACAACCACTCTGCACAGGATTTGGAGCCTGTCTCATCCATTGTACCATGCTGCCTCCCCAAGGTGAACTTATCTAACCTGCACACTGGCAAGGTTTTTCAAGCTCGCTACTGAAAAGAGGAGGAATATACTGAAAATACTGAATTTTTCTTGGCTTGAATCTACAATACATAACAATATATAACCTTTCTGAGCCCATTAAAACACAAACAAACACACACACACACGGAGATGACTCTGGCCTTTTATGATTGAGTGGCTTCTAGTGGTGGATGTTATGTCAGGGGAAGCCGAATTGCTGTGTCCTATTCCTTCGCCTATATTGAAATCCAAATTCTCTTGGGCCACTAAGGGAATTTGAAAGGATAATTAGGCATAAATCACCAACAGTTAAATAATGCAGTAGCCAAAGCCCATTAATGGTATTATATAGAAAAGGCGGTGTTACAACATTTTACTGGCTTAGAAAAATTAGGCCCATTATCCAAACTGCTGTAACTCGCCTTATCGGAATGTCAATCAGGAAACAAAGGAAACCTGAAGTGGGTCCACAACCTGTCACTGTTTCAACTTTATTTTTTTCAGCACATCGCTGCACATCATCCATTTGGTGCATGGCAGCGGAAAAGGAGGGGAGCCCTCCACACCAAACGTTCCCAGGTCAGAAGAGAGGATTAGAGCGCCAGTGCCCAAAACACAACACAACCTGGAAAGTGACGTGCCGAGAGGAATCACAAAGTGCCACCGGCGGTGTTTGCGGCCAAGAAGAAAAAAGCACGCTAAAATTTAATTATAAGTTTAGCAACTTTCTAGAATGGGGAACGGGCTTCTGCTTTCAGCTCCACGGAACCGCCTCCAACCCAAAGCAAACCATCCTCCGGGCAGGGGCCGAGATAACGGGAAGGCGGCCGGTCCGCGCCAATCAGCAGCGCCCAAGTCTCGTTAGCGCAGACCTGTCAGTTCGCCGCCAGGCCGGGCAGCTGTTGATCTCGGGGCCATTTTTTTTTTTTTTTTAAAACAGAGACAGAGAGCTCACTGGAAAGGAGCGAGGAAGGCTGAGCCAGGCGGAGGGGGAGGGGAGGAGGAGGTGAGGACGTCCCAGGAAAAGTCGGAGAGGGCTGCAAACTGGCGGGGACCGGGCGGCGGGGCTCAGCGGCGCGGAAGTGGGAGGGGAGTACTGGGGAGGGGGAGAGGGGCCCGCGCCTCAAAGTTCCGCGTCCCGGCGGCGCCCGCGCTCTGGGGCTGCTCACCTAGCAGGAGCGTGGTCCAGGTCCGGCCGCGCCCCGCGCGCCGCAGG